TGGAGAACTAGAGAAGATGAATGATCTTTCAACTATTACATATCAAATTTCTTGAGAGCATAAATGATACCAAAGAAGCTTGCACTGCAAAATTAAGTGACAAGAAGAATTTAAAGTTGTTGACTTTAGATTGGAGTGACTTCGGTGTCCCCGGTACTAAAAGAAACAAAATTCTTGGAGAGAAGAAAGGCTAGGATGGCAAGAAAGCAAGCCATCAAGGCTATCAAGATTTTCTAGATAAAGAAAACACAAAGATGGAGGGAGGTTTGACAATTCTGGGATCTTTGGAAACATATTGATTCTTAGTTTTTTTTAGAGAAAAAAGACTAGGAAGATTAGAAGGCAAGCAATACAGGTTTGCAAGCTGACCTAAATTTAGTTCACGCAAAGGAGGTAGGGTAGGTAATGTTTGGATCCGAGGAACAAAATTAATGTGAAGTTCATGGAAAGAGGAAAGGCTAGAAAGGCAAGAAGGCGGGCAATCCAGGCTACCAAGAGATTCTAGATGCAAAAAACACAGAGGAAGGGAGGTCTGGTAATTCTTGCAGCTAAGGAACTTCACAAATGAAAAGTTTTTGAAGTGACGAATAGGAGAAAGATAAGCAAGAAGGTTGGATCTATAATAATTTGAGTTGGATGAGTACTAATCGTTCCAAAGAGGTTGGGATGTTTGGCAACTTTTGGAGTTCTGCAACTTATTGTACATGTGAAACCTTAAGTGAAGAAAGACATTCCAATAAGGGAAAGATTGTAGGGATTTTATCCTTCTAAAGTTTAACTCACAAATAGATGAGCTAACTTGCAAAAAGTAAAACCACTGCTCTGCCTCAATTGGAAATTAAACCAGTTCATTTTTATCTCAATTGTTAACTTTTGGATGGAGTTGATATTTCTTAATGGTGTCATTGGCAAAACAGATGGATCATTTATATCAAGTTCACTTATAATGAGCTGGCAAGTCTCAGTAGTCTCCACTTCATGTAGTCCTTCGGGAGAGATCAAATTGTGGTAATCTCTAATTTCCAATCATCTGAGTGCAGGAATTTCATCAGCTAGGGGAAGAGATGTGATGTTTGAACAGCAGACTTTTAAAACTTCAAGGGGAACAGACTCTGAGATGCTATAACAATTCAAAGCTTTCTATCCAATGTTATTTGCATTTAATGCCTTGAGCATAGGAGGCCAAGCGGGTAACTCTTGCAAATTGAGCCGTTTTCTAGGCATAGTTCTCTCAAGCATGGAAACCTACAATAATATTCCACTATAGCCGCATCTAATCAATTCTCCAGTGCATTCAAATTTTTGATGCATAGCATCTCTAGAGATTGAAAGACAAAATCTCTATCATTCCCATACAATTTACTGCATTGTTGTTTTACTTTTGGCATACCAACAAGAGTAAGAAACTTGAGAAAGAGAAGTACAAAAAAGGAGGTAAAGTGTGCCACTCCAAACAACTTAACTATAAAAGTGAAATAATTTTATAGATGTTTTGGCAAAAGATTATATCTTAATCTTAAGATATGTATAATAAAATTATGATCCAATTTTATAATTCCAAAATTATTGTTTAAGACTTTCATCAAATATTTTTCAGTAAAGCTAAAATTCAAAATACCGCCGATGACCATTGCTACCAACAGAGATTCTTTAGAACTTTTTAGCTATCTGTCCAGCAATGACTCTTATTTTCTTATTATCATGAAGATTCCCCATATTAAGAAATGTATGATAGTTGAGGAGTTGCAAACGCTCACTTCCTCCAACAAGCCTCATAATCTCAATATTTCCATTTTCTTTTTAATTACCTTTGATATCATCATTGCAATCGAGTCTATTTGACTTGTTATCAAAATTTTACTTCCCAAACATCCATTGGCCAGAGGTGTCAACAAATTCTCCCATTTGACTTTATCCTACTCCCAAATGTTATCCAGAATGAGTAAAAAATTTTTGAACATCATCTTGATCTTAAGACTCTCTTGAAGTTTATTAAGTGACTCCAAGTCCAACATCTTCCCTTCATAGGATGCCAAAGTATCTTTAATGACTCTTTTATCATCAAAACTGTTGGAAACACAAACCCAGATTTTAAGATCTAATCCCATTGTCATTTCATCTTCATAGACATGTTGCAACAGAGTTGTCTTCCCCATACCTCCATGACCGACCGTAGATAGAACAGAAATGTTTCTATACAACGTTGTGGTTGTAGTATGAATTGGTTGTTCATTTTATGGCTTCCTTAAACACAGCATAACAAACTCCTTATCCTTAGCTCGACCAATCAGATCATTTTAGGCAAGGAACTTGATTCACGTGTTTTTTCCAACTCAAATTGGTGCTCCTACTTCTCTAGCATTGTATTTTATGTAAGGTAAAATAATTTACCAACATCAATTGAAACTTCGTCAAGTTTCTTCACTACCACCTCCAGTTTCTTCAATGTGGAATCAATATAGAGAGCACGTTTACCAAATTTTATAAGTCTTTCCTTTATGTTCAGCTGCTTCTGAAGTTGCTTGTACTCAAACTCATCGAGCACATCATCTGCAACATCAATGACAGCTCGTAGAAGCCATAGCCATTTGTTGAGAGATGGGTTTTGATCTCCGATACGCGCTTCATTGGAAGCAAACACGACAGATTGGATCAAGGGGGGTGGATTTTTTGCAGCCTTTCCAGCTCCTCATTCATGCTTTTGCTCCAAGTGAATTGATTTTGCAGGTACATAAAGCCAATGTGAATGAGCCTAATGAGCCTCTCCATGATTCAACCACCAAACCATTCTAACACCACATCCATCAAGATAGAGTAGAAAAATTAAACAGGAGAAGACTCTGTAATAGACAAATAGCAAAAAGTCAATAAGCCAGAAGAGAAATAATGGAGATGAAAAAAAAAAGAACTAACAGAAGTATGATTTGGAGCTCAAAAAGTAAACTATAAAAGAATTAAAATATTTGTATCAATATTTTATCAGAGAAAACATAAAATTTTAATATTTGACACTTAAAAAATTAACATTTAATAGACACGAGTTTAGAAATATATTCTTAAGAGATGAACACATTATGATGATTTGGAGCTCAAAAAATAACTATAAAAGAATTAAAATATTTGTATCAATATTTTATCAGAGAAAACATAAAATTTTAATATTTGACACTTAAAAAATTAACATTTAATAGACACGAGTTTAGAAATATATTCTTAAGAGATGAACACATTATGCATTGAATTTTAAAAAGAATACAATACATTGTAAGGAAAGATTCTTATGATTAATCGCAGAAAGCATATTTACTTACCAAACCAGTTTCACTCATTCGTCTGAATCTTGACTTGACAAAGCAGTTAAAGAAAGCTTACCCCTTCTCCTTTAGCATTATATTTCATGTGCGCACACAATATAGATAGGTTTAACATATAACATATTTATCTCATCATAAGAAGAATTTACAAAGACAAATTTTATGTATGTCATCGCACATCAGTTTGCATCATTTTTGCATTTTTACATCTAATGCACCTAGTTATATGTCTTGAATGGACTGCGATGATGAAAAACAAGTGTTAATCTAGTTTCTTTCTACCGATGCAAAATTTGAAATTTATGTTAGGAAAAGTATTTCTTTTTCCACAAGAAAATTGTTGTATAACAGCCTATCTTCATAAATTAAAAAAAAAAAATAGCATGTTCCCCTTTTCATCTTGTTAGTTAAGAGTATTTTCATTAAAAATCATATTTTATTTTGAAAAGAAATTTTAATATTTCAAAATATTTAAAAACCACAACTATAGTTTGCTTTGTAGTGCTATGTGATGGAACTTACCTTGCTTATCTATGTAGATGAATAGAATTTGAGGATTTTAGTTCACTTCTAAAACATGCAATTAAAATTAATCGATCTTTTAAATCAAGAAAAAATACATGATAGCATATGGGTTCATCATATTAAACATAAACATGCTACATATTAGCGTTGGACATGCTGATGCATAATTCATATCTTGACCTTATGAGTCGATATGTTGTCGAAAACTCACCTAATGATCTATAAAAAATAATATATCATATACATGCAATTTCTCTAGCTAGACTTCTCTAAGGTGTATATGTTTAACTAACCAACCTTCTCTTTCACTTGGGACCAAGCGGGTCAGTGGTATTCGTCACCAAGAATGATGATGTAAGTCTGATATTTTAAGCCTGATGTAATTGGTGTAATAATGTCATAAGTCCTAGTCCTTAAGTTTCTTCAACAATCAAGAAGATGCATAATTCTTAGGTTTTAACGCCTCATTAGTCTATTCTTCCATATTCAAAGAAACTTTGACAATTCATCATTTACCTTTCAATTTTCAAGCTTCATATGCCTGATGAAATCTTTCAGGTATTGCAAGGGCAGCAGGTAAATCAGTTGAAGGTGGTTGGCTGGCATGCATGTAGGTGCTGGTGGGAGAGGCCGGCGACAGTGGAGCGCACGAGGGGAGAACGACGTGAAAACTGACAAAAAGGTCACTGCTTCGATTGCGATGTTTGAGGCTATGAAACAAAATCACCGAGGCGAAGAGCTTCTTTAGCAGAGAATATTCGAAGAAGCGCGGGGTGAAATAGATCGCTACCTTAGCAACGAACTCGCTTCTTGACTTACAATCAATCAGGAACAACGTCGTAGAAAAAGGCGAAGAAGCGAAGACGCTTTTTTAGCAGAGAACAGTCGAAGAAGCGCTTGGAGAAAAAGATCGTTACTTCACGGCTAGCTCCCTACATGGAACTACTTCAAAAATATTCTTCACGCGAAACACGCGAAGTCGGTGCGAGATCCCGTCGTGACTTCCGATTCACAGGAGAAGGAGAACAAACATCAACTAAAATGTTGCAATAGAAGAAGAAGACGATGGCGGGAGAATGCTAAGCTCGCATTTTAGCTAAGAGAAGGTTGCGATGGCGGCTGCGTGAAGAAAGGACCCCTTAGGGCGAAACAGAAGAATAAGAATGTGGAATGGTGGGAATTTAAAATTTAATCCATTTGTACTACATGAACATGTTAGTTCTGGACAAAATTTAATATCATTAAAAATATTTATCCATTTTAGGATCTGAAATCAATGAGTTAACTTTGAATATATTTCATACTATACAACTCATATCATATAGGCTAAATAAATAGAGATTTTTTAAGAATGATCTTCACTAAGATAATATAATTAAATATTTTGAAAAAAAATTAAACTAATCATCTTGCATGAATCATATCATGTAATTTTTTATTCTCATGAATTTCTTATAAATCTTAAAGGAACAAGACAATTCATATCATATAGTTTTTTTTTTATCTTTTTTCTTATAAATTAAATAGTAATTTTATCCGTATCATATAGTTTTTTTTTATCCATATCATATGGTTCGATCAAGCAGAGATCAATTTTTAGGGTTTAAGACTGATTGAATTAATTGTAATGTAAGATCTTTTGGATCATACAATACAATCAAGCTTATAATTTTACAAATTAGCCGTTTTAGGGAATTTTTTGGAACCCTTATATAGATTTCAATATCCAAGAGTTTGAGAGAGCTTTTTTACCATAGTTTTTTCTAAGAGATAGAGAGATTTTGTGAGCTTTTGAAGATAAACTTTCAAGGGGATTTTGGGAAAGAGATTGGAGAGGCATTGAGAGAACTTTGGGATGGACCAAAAGAGTGGGTGATGGATTCACTAAAGGTTGTCTAGTCCAATCTAATCTCTTATTACTCTAGATTATTGTAAAAGCTCTTAGGAGAAGAGCTTTAGTGAATCTTAGTAGGAAGACTTGGATATAGTTAAGGAGGCTAGAGAGAAGTTACTTTTTGAAGAAAAATGTGCTTTAGGTAGAGAAAAAGGATTATCCGTGAAGGAGAGGCTTCTCCGCCTTGTTGGAGGTAGAAGGGGAGAGGTTTCTTAACCTTTTTGAAAGTAAACTGAGAGAGTCAGTGGAACTTTGTAGGAAAGGACAGAAGGAGTGGAAGCAGATTAAGTTAATCGAACAACTATAAATAAGATTGCATTTTTTTCTGCACTTACCTTATTGCAAATTTATTTCATGCTTATGATATTTTGATGATTTATGATGAAATTGTTGATATTGCAAGTTCGTACTCTTAATATTAATTTTGTTTGATAAAATAATTCTATGAAAAATAAAATAAATATTTGAAAATATTTTTTATTGTAATAGAATTTATTTTTTAACAAGTTTAAAAAATAGATTTTTAATTATATTGGTTATTGTTCTTACTCTAATGTCTTTTAACCCAAATCCTACGATGCCAAGGTAAGGAAATATCAAAATCAAAAGATTTAAATGTATATTCTATTGATCATTTACTTGGTTCGTTAATAACATAAGAGCAAAAAGTTAGTCAGAGACATGTAGATATCAATGACAAAAAAATAAAAGAGTGATTTAATTAAAACCTGATGATTCTTATAGCAAAAATTTTAAAGAAGGTGGAGTATAAAACATTGCTTTCATGACCAGATAATTCAAAAAAAAATTGAGGAGTGAGGAGAGAAATCATAGTCACAAAAGTCGAGGTAAAGGTGAGAAAGTCAATAAGATTTCTACAAAACACTATTCATTTTAAATATAAAAAATGATGTCGCATAAAGTGGGATTGTCCAAACCTAAAAAAAAATAATCACCAAAAGAGAATGTTGAGGAGAGAGCTAAATAAAAAAAGAGCAAAAAAAATATCTCAAAGAGATTTTCGGGCCAATTCAAAATTTGATTCCTCAAACCTCAAAGACTGAAGCTGAAGAAGATATTACCATTCTATGCTTAATGATAAAAGACATCACAGGATATACCGATGAGGTTCAAGTATGTGATTATACTTATGATGAATTAGTTTCTTTTACTAAGCATTTACAAGCTAGGAACAAAGAAATTATATGCTTTAAAAAGGAGCATAGTGTATTGCAAGATTAGCATTGTGATTAAAAAATTTGATGATTTAAGAAATAATTTAGATGAACAAAACCACATACATATTGAATTAGCATTATATACAAAATATTAGAAGCTGAAGCGTTGCTTTTGCAAGAGAAGTAGCATGAATCCCAAGTTAAGGTAGGAGTATATAAAAGAATAAATGAATGTCTTAGCAAAGAAATCACAAAATTTTGAGCACTTTTCATCTTGCTCATTACACACGGCCAACAAACAATCTATTATGGAACATTAAGCATTATCCTCCTGGAGGAAGGGTTTTTCATTGCATAAATTTGCTCATTCATTTCCTAGAGTGATGTGTTATTCTAGTGATGTAGAAGGACACATAGCTCATGTTTGCCCCATAAGATCTATCATAGCTCGCAGTTTGTTTGAAGGCCTAAGGACTTCGGTGCATAATATGACTTGCGTACATCTTTATTATACTAGTGGGGGATACATGTGGACAAATTAAGTGTTATTATTTGTACCACTGATTTGGATTTAGTATTTCTTTAGATAAATTAGCATAATTAATATTAATTATCTTGAGAGATAAACTAACACAACATTATCGATTTGAGGAAAGAAATGATTTATTTTGGTATCCAAACTCGATGTAGGAAATGTAAAAATTATCTTGAAGGATAAAATTCACATTCACATATCGTTTTAAATACAAAATTAACCTATGATATGTTTTAGTTTATGCCCAAAGATTTTTCCCCTATCTTAGTAAACTAAGACATATTTATTTTTTACTAGAATCTTGAGTTTCTATAGAGGCCCCTTCAGTCAATTACATCTCCAAAGAGAAAATTTTTGATTAAAATGGAGATTAGACTTATTTTGACTTTAAATATAAGAAAGTTTCCTTATACTGATATATTTAATTCTTTATATATTTTATTATTTATAAGGAATATGAGATGTACAAATACGTCTAGGCTTATGCCTGCTTGGAATGAGATTCCAACTAACAATCTAAAACATACACAATTATCCTAGATATAATGTATGATAAGGTTAGCTCTATTCTAAGAATCAAAATAATAAATCAGAATCTAAATTTTTAATGGCTCAAGATGAGTAATTTTTTACTTTATGTTTAAATGATGCTAACGAGATGAATTGCTAAAGACTCTAAATTTTATCTTAGTTAGATTACCTAGCTAAATTTTCTAACTACTTTAACAGCATAACTGTGATGCCCCAAAATCTAATTTAAAATAATTATTCTTTTAATCTTTTAATAGATAATAATAAGATCTATCTAATATCATTAATCAATAATAAACAATAAAACTTGATTTTATAATTTAAATCATCAAAGTGCATATCTATATTGATTCCCAAAAATCATATGCAATATTTAAGATATATACAATTATATTATAACTATTATGTTCTTAGTGCACAAAAAAAAAAAAAAAAAAAAACCCAAGAATTTGACTAGCCTCACACCATGCTCCATTGCCTTGACCTGAAATCATTTAACCACATATAATGAGCTAAAAAATCCAACATATCACAGAAACCTATAACTGAATTCAAAGCATGGTAAAGGAGCAATATATATGTCAACAGTCAAATCATAACGGTTATATTTATATGATCATTGAATCAGTATAAAAATAATAAAATTCATAATCAATAGTAATAGAATCTATAAACAGTAAAAAACTATAATATGTAAGCCATTAAAGTAGTAAGCTAGTGAATGTCAGATCTATAAAATAATCGTCATATCCATAATACAATTTAGCACAAAAATCATATAAAGTATCAAATCAAAACATCGATAATGACTATCAAAATTATGCTAATGCAGTAAAATCATATAAGAGCGTACCCATACTTCAAATATTCTATATCACAAGCATAATATATTACATGCTTAGTATCAATATAGTGAAATAGTAATATTAAATAACATCCGTATCTAAATCGGTAATAATAACAATTCATTGATAGGAGTACTAAAAAAATATATAATAATAGTAAATTCGTACAATAATAATAAATCCATACAATAATAAAAAAATACCGCAAGAATATTCATTTAAGTAGTCATACTAAATAAGTAAAAAGTTCTAGCTATAACGGTATTTTTTAGTGCTAGTATCAGTATTAATAAATTATTGGCTCACTAAATAAAGTCGTCACACTTTGCCCATTGACATAGTAATAATCTGCTTATAACTCACAACAAGTATATTATCGCTCTAAAAAATCATTAAATAATATGTGAACCTTGCTCTCATAAATTTATGGGGTTCCCTTTATTTTTTTTTCCGGAGGTAGATTGAGTTTAATATTTAACTAGATTTTTCCTAAAAATAATATCAGGGTTTATTTAGATCTGAGATCTACTTCCTATGAGCGCAAGCTCTCGTAGCTAATTATCCCTCATAATGCATTAGAAGAGCACTCTCAATTAAGGATGAAATATACTTAACTTCGTGCAAGGAGTTTGAGAATGTGCAATAGAGATTTAAACTTAGTTATGGGGGAATGAAGGTACACCCAATCAAAATCCCATGGTTCTTTCATCCCGGGCATACCATGTGTTCAGTCTAACAATACTAATAACTATTGATTATAGTGTCCAGGGAATTTGATTAGCATTCATGGATTGTATCTTCTCAGGGATCCCGAGTAGACTGAAGTGGAGTGTGTGAATTTTAATTTAATTTCATTTGGGTTGGGGCTTATAACTTTCTTATAAGTTGCATGTTAATTTGTTTGATTTGGTCTTACGGCTCTAATTAGGAGTTGCTCGTGTGATTTGAATTGGGTAGGGGCTTATGACTTCCTTAAAAGTTTCCAGTTAATTTATTTAGTTTGGGGTTTACGGCTCTGATTAGGAGTTTGCCCATGTGATTTGATTTGGGTAGGGGCTTATGACATCTTTAGAAGTTGCCCATTAATTTGTTTAATTTGGGGCTTAAGGCTCCAATTAGGAGTTACCCGTGTGATTTAATTTGGGTAAAGGCTTATGACTTCCTTATAAGTTGCTCTG